ATATGCTATATTTTTGATTAAAAGGTATCAGAAAATGTCAACACAATGCAGAATTAATGTTTGAACTCCCGATTATAGGTCATCCATTCATTTCTATACTTTGGAACTATTGCAATTCATAATATGGCAAATTACATATACTTATATCAATAATGCTGAAATGTTTTGTTCAGGATCCATGCATAATTATGTACAAATAGCAACATGACTTATGATTACGTCAGTGCTGTTGAAAAAGATATAACTTTAGAAACATCACTTTGGCCAACAGCATGGACTTGTGCATAATAGGTGGTGCCACCCTCAAGGTTAAGGATTGTGCATAGCTGAGCTTGACATGTTGCTGTTTGGTCCAGTTTCATTTCTTGTTTTCCATAGTACACGACAAATTGGCTTTTCAGATCTCCATCTTTATTCTTCCAGGTGATGGTTGCAACATTCTGGCCAATAACATGTGCAGTAACATTACCAAATATCTTTGAGACTAGAAAGTGAATAGCATAAGAGAATATGGTAGAATGTTCTTATATATATATCTATACTGAACTTTTAAATTATTTCATACCTCTTCTTTGTTTAAAGCAAATCCTTAAATCTATGTACTATCTCATGAAAATCAACTCCAATGACCCACCCATGGCTTTTTGTAATGATAAATGACCCAGGCATGAACTGACAAACAAAAATCCATGGTATTTGATAAATAATTATAGTGTGTGGAAACCTTTTATTGGTGTCCTGGCATATTTACAGCCTTTTCTCTGCCAATGTGGATAGGCACCCTTGCGTGTAAAGGCTGTCATTTTGATACAGTATAGTGTGTCTTCTTTGAGGTTGGTCAAAACGGTTGATAGTTGGTCTCCCCTATCTATATTCTGTTTTTTGAAGAAGGAATCTGACTTTATCTTGATATAAACTTCATAACCAAGGATGATACCATTTCTTTGACTGATGGGTAGTTGTTGCCACGTTACTTTGATGGCTGTTGCATTGATGGCAGTAGCAGATGTAATTGTTGGAGACCTTCCAGGAACTTTGAAAAAAACAGATGAAAATTGCTCTTAACAATTCACTCAACCCAGAAAATAAATACAGCCAAAATACAAATTAGATTACCATGATTATGTGGTAGGAAAAGTGAGACATAGCTGATGTTGTTTCGGATAAAGGGGGAAATGAGGTGTGATAAAAACTCTGGTAATAGGCGATGGAAAACCAGGAGAACGTACATGGAAATCATCTGCTATTGATGGTTTTCAATCATCCCCAAGAGAGTAAAATAATGAAAGACAAGGTGGCCATGTTGGATGATATAACAAAAGAATTCATTGACAAGTCTTTTGCTAAATTCAACCAAGATGCCGGCTAGGACGTCATGCAAACGAAGAATAAGCTCTATAGGCTTACCATCATCCATAGTACGAACAGTAATGATAGCAGGCTTACTACGCTCATTATTCACAACAGTATAAACCTTGACCCTGTACGCAGTGTACTTAAGAAGACCTCTCAACCTGTATATCTCGCCACTTGCCCAATTTTTTCCAGGAATAACTCGAATGGTCTGTAAAGGAGTTTTTTTGATAAATCCATATTCAAGGTCGTAATGGCTGACTTCACTAGTCTCAGGTTTCCACCATACGATTTTAAGTGAGTCTGATCCAAGTGAAAATGCCATAAGGCTACGAGGTTTGCCTGGACCTGAAAAATATAAGATTCCATTTTGATCATGCTTACGAACGATCCAATTTACCTTGCCCTTTTGCGTCACTTTTTGCCGGTTTGGAATTTGGAATCTGGGTTCTCTCTTGAACTCTAGGGTTCACACCCTGATACTGGATTCCTTACAGAAAGAATGAGGGGCCACTTTTGTACTTTGAGCTAATGAAAAAAAATTACCTGGTTTCTCGCATGTTTTCCTCCCTTCCACGTCTTTAAGCGGTCCCAATGAATAAATACAAGGAATACATCGCTTCTGCCCAGCTTGTGGTTGGAATGTTTTTGGTGGACACTTTGTACAGTTGCCGTCTTTTTCTTCAAAGGTTCCTGGTAGACATTCTTTTTGTAGGGATAAAACAAACATAAAACAAGCTTAAAGCCACGTTCAAAATAAGCTACAACTATTTTAATATTGCGCAACAAAGTCATTTCCCAGTTGAATTGTAGAAGAATATATTACATTAAAAGGTACTGTCATTTTCAAACCTTTCTTAACGCATTGCGTTTCATTAATGGAGCCTTGAAACCAGGTCGTCTTTTCAGGACTACATTTGACACATCTCGTTTGTCCTGGTAGATCCTGATAGGTGCCAATGGGACATTTCATGCATCCTCCATCTAAAAACGTCCCAGGAGGGCATACATCTGTAATGAATTAATGAACGAGGGAGTTCATCATTTTTTAAACATAGGTCAGGACTGGAAATACAGTAGATAAAGCATCGGGTTGCTTTGTCATATAACATAATTCACTGATTAGATGGCAAAGAGCAGATTGTTAATGAGTATGGAAAGTCAAGACACACTGTTTAGTTTAGCCTTAAGATTTTCATAGTTATACAGAAACTGCTCTATAAACCTAGGTTTAAAATACAAACCTTTTTGAATACACTGCGATCGATTGCTGGAGCCTTCCAATAAGGTAGTCTTGAGTGGACCACACTTAATGCAACTGGTTTGTCCTGGTCGGGGCTGGTAGGTTCCAATGGGACATTTACGGCATATGTCATCAAGAACTTGGTCGAATGTTCCAGGAGGACACAGCTCTACACATTAAATATGTCATGTATTAGAAAAATTAAATACTAGCACCAGAAATCTCAAACTAGACTCTTAAGCAAACCTTTCTCGATGCATTGTGATTTTTCAATGGTGCTTCTCTGCAAGGTTGTCTTATCTTGATCACATTTAAGACAGGTGACTTGACCTGGTTTGGGCTGGTATGTTCCAATGGGACATTTAGTGCATGTTTCTTCTATGCCGTCTTTATATGAACCAGGTGGACATTGTACTACGAATATAAAACAAAATGGAACATGAATGTCATCAGTCTATTTTGTTTTGTGATCTCAAGTAATAAGCCTTTTATTTTTCCCTGTGAATCATTTTAAACCAGTAACAACAAACTTTCGTTTTACTTAACTCCTGAAAATAACGCCTGAACTGGATCAAAATGCATGTTTATGTTTTTAAGTTACCTGACAGTTTTCTAAACATATATTGAACTTACCACACATATATCCATTGTCATGCAAGTACTGACCAGATGGGCAGTCAGGTGCCATGTAGAGAAATCCAAGAGATTTGGCAATACCAGTGAGGTTTGCCTTTGATCCTTGTGATACAAACGTTGTTCTGTTCATAGCGTGCATCAATTGTTTTAATTTCCCAACAACATTAAGACGCGCCTCTGAAAATCTCTCCATGACTTCTTCCTGAAGCCGGAAATCTATGGCTTCGAGCTTGACACTTTCACTAAGGAAGAAGTATACTTTTGCCATGGATTTCGATAAAGGGATGTATCTCATATTAGAGATGCTCTTTCTAGATACATTCATTGCTGTAGTCACTAAGCTCGTAATACTCGTCTTTAAAGTCTTGTCCAAGCGAGAGGGAATACCTAGAGTATTTTCACCTTGACAACTTGACGAAACTTGACATTTATTTGTAGCATTGAAGATAACAGCTATCTTTGGATTTGTTGCTGCAATGTTTAACACATCGAGCCTTGCTTTTCTGCTCACAGCTTTACCTCTCTCATTACTTGCCTCGCAATAATAGTGACCACTTTTCTCGACTTCGTCTGGAACTACGTACAACAGATTACTATTCTCGTTGGTCAGCTCCACTGATAAATTCGATGACAATGGTTCAAAAAGCCATTTTATAGTCGCCAACGGTTTTGCATTAACAGCACATGAGAATGTAACCCCTGACTGCTTGTTCAAAGGAACTTGTACATTTGTTGGATGCTCGACAATTGTTGGCTTTTTTTGTATGACTAGCGCAGTTATTCCTGAGAAGATACTTCCCTTGTGATTTGCAGCTTCACATCTGTACAATCCTTGACTGGTTTCATTCAGTAATCGTAATTCAAGATCGCCACTTTTGTCAGAAACCTTTATGACTGTGTTATCCCTTCTCCATGTGTAAATTACTTTTGTCTGGCTTTTTGCGAGACACGAAAGCTTGATACTCTCACCAACGAGTCGGTTTACTTGTTTGCTGTCTTTTGTCAATATAACTGGCTTCTCGCCACAGAGAAGACTGTCATCGTATGTTTCGTTTAACAGCATAGTTAGGTTCTGAAGTCTCGATCTAACCTCTTCCATCTCTAGTTCTTCTTCCATTAGTTCTTTCATTCCATCAGCTAATCTTGGTAACAAAGTCTGCATTTCTCTTGCTTTTGTGCTATTTTTTACAGATTTGTACAGTTCTACGAGACGTTCACTCTGTTCTTTAACACAGTCGAGGGCATTTGAGCAGTCCTTTAGATCTCTTGTTTTGGAGATGTTTTCGACAAAGTTCCTCCATCCAACAATAGTCTCATTCCAAGAGGCCATTCTTGATTGCTCTTTTCGTTGTTCTTTATAAGATGAGATAGTCTTAACATAGCTTTTTGACAAATCGTTTTCAGACGATCGTGCAGCATCATCAGCAAGGGTTACTTCCAGGTTGTCTATGGCAGTAATTTCATTTGATATCTCATTATCTTGTGCAAATTTAGACTCTAAAAGTTTATGAAGAGCACTAAGCATCTCAGAGAAGAACAAACTTGTGTTTCTAGCCAGTAAACAATTTTCATTTTCTTTTATAGGATCTGACTTTTGGCTTGAGTTTGAAAAGTCTATTTCTACGGATCTTCTTTTTCTTGATGTTTCGATGGATTGTGCAAGTTTTTKAATGACTGATTTYGTAGYKTGTTCTATTGATAAMYTAACATCCTYAAAATCCATGATAAMSTTGAATGTYAAGTCAGGTCCATYTTTAGTTGTTACTGTTCCTTTTAAAGGAAGGCGCGACTTTGACAGCGATGATGTTTTTGTATGGAAGTATAGCGATAACATTCGAAATGGTCGCTCCTTATAAGACTTGTTTAAAATAGTCCCGATCTTAAGACCTAAGTCAACATCAGGAATGCTCTTCATCTTAGACAAGGAAATCATGCTGGCGTTCTCCAAAGCTTGAAGTTGCCGAAGCCGAGCACTGACGATTCTATAATCATGTGCAGCATTTTGTTCTCGTAATCTTGCTTCCTCAAGCCGTAATTCTATGTGAGCCAATTCCTTTTCCGATTCTATCAGATGGGGATATTCAAATAAAATCGACGCATTATAAAATGATTGTTCTTGTTTAAATATGTTTTTCTTTTCTTTGAAGCATTCTTGGTTTCTTTTAACACATTGTGGATCTAAAAATTCAACACACTTGATGTCTTTTCTACAGCAAGACCTAGGCTTAAACCCTTCCGACGTCATGTTGACTGTTCTCGGATTGGTACACTTCCATTTGATTTCTGAAAACTGTTTTCCCACCATTATTGCTCTTGTTTCCTGGTAACTTCGGTACTCGGTTGGTCCAGCTTCAGTTACGTACTTATGTTTACATCCAGAATTTTGGAAAGCCGACATAAATGAGTCGCCTACTATGTTGCCAAACGATCCAGCAAAATTTTTCATCAGATTCTGACCAAAGTTCTGGAAAGCGTCGCCAATGTTTGCAAAAATGTCTTCACTGAATGCTGCTTTTAAGTTTTTAAATAGTTCTCTTATTTCCAAATTGGGCAAGTCCGGTAGGTTCAGCATGCCTGGTAGATTTTGTAAGCCCGGTAGATTTGGCAAGCCTGGAACGTTCTTTAGGATATTTCCAATATTGGGGTTGATAAACTGTTTCAAACCTTTATTCAAAATTCCTTCAATATTGAGCACTCCCCTCAAAGCGGGTATGTTCCTTCTTAGTGCATCTCCTATATTGAGGTTTAAGTTTACGGGGAGATGTTTAAATGCTCCCTTTACGATACCATTTACGTTAAAATCTTCAACCATGTTCATCAGTGAGCCTGCTTCACTAAGAATCTTTCCAACGCTTGGCATCTCTCCAAGTGTCGGAAAAGCACTTTTGAAAATCTTGTTAACGCCAAGGTCCTTGATAATTGGCAATTGTTTATTTATTATGTTATTGAAATTTAATTTTTCGAGTTTGAGAGGGTTAATATCAACCGATACGACGTCTCGCAGCTTGTTATTAATAAATTTTTCGAAGTTAAGGCCCTTTGCAAATCCAGGCACCATATCTTGTAAAGTGTTCTGTAGATTGAAGTTTTGTAGTCCAGGTATGGATCCCATATCACCTCGAACCAGTTTGTTCAGGTTAAGCTCACCAAGGTTTCCTGGGTTACGTTTTACAGCATTAATAATCAGTCTATTCAAATTAAAGTTTTTACCAAGTTGTGGTATTCTTTTTTTTAGTAGCTTATTTAAGTCCACATCCCTATGCAGACCTCGAAGTTTAGTCTTTATGATATCGTTGACATCAAACCTTTCAAGCAATGTTTTCTTTACCTTAAAAGACAAAACATCATCCAAAGAAGTCTGTATATGTCCTGTGATATTCTTCAAAGATTTAAGTGGAGGTAAGGACTCTTTTAGCACTCTATCAAGATCGATATTTCTCAGTTCCGGTATCCTTTTCACCAGCTCCCTTTTCAAATCGACCTTCCTTTTGAGTCTTTGGGCTTTGAATATAACATCTTTCATTACTTGGTCGAAGTCAAAATTGTTTCTAAGTTCAGGCACAGCTTTTATTACTTCTTCATCAAAATCAAAATCTGCAGGAAGTGCTGGGAAATACCTCTTCAAAATTTCACTCGGATCGAATTTATGTTGCTTTATAAAGTAGGAAGCCAAAAGCTTATTTAAATCAAAGTCTTTTGGGAGCTTACTAGATATTTTTCGAAGTTCACCGTTGATGTCAAAATCACGTGGTAGATTTGGGTTAGACTTTTTAAGAAGTTCATTAAAATTAGGAACATTTTGAAAGTCTTGTCCATTTGTGATGCTTCGTTTTTTTCTTCTGCCCAATAAGGATGAAAACGCCAGTTTAGCACCTCCCTTTATGAGTCCCTCACCCAAAGCTGTTAAAAAGGACTTGCACTTGCCAACATCTCTTCTTATCTGGGGTGTCGTTGGGTACGTCACTTTACGAGTAACTTCTCCCGGTACAAACTTGATGTACTTTGCATTCACTTCCACACAATCATGTTTTTGATATTGAATGATTGCTTTGTCCCAGCACATATCTGGWATACAAGTTTTGCTGCACAATCTTTTACAGTCAGTAAGATTGCAACTTTTGCTTAACAGGCGTTTTGTGAATTTATCATAATCTTGTACAGCATCTTCAAATTTTTGAAAATATTCATTAAAGTCCGCCCTCTTTCTCTTAAGCATGTTTTCTAAATTCTTTTTGTTCTTAATCGAGAGATCCCAGTCATTTTTTTTGGAAATTAAAATCGCGTCTGTATTTTTCGTCTTATTAACGGTACTTTCTAAAAGTGTCTTCGCCTTTCTTATTCTATTTTCAGCTTTTCGAACCATTGTGATAGCATATTCGTTGACTGCGTTTTCCAGCATTCTTGGAAGTTGAGAGCCTTGACCCATTTTTCCACTTGCTTTGAAAATCAATGACTCCCAGTCGTCGACCTTAGTATCAGCAGTTACGTTAATCTCTGATTCGAACTTGTTAAAAATATTCCCTCTCACTTTAACATAGAGCTGTTGGTTTGTAATGTTCAGGTTGACCGTTTTTGTCATTCCAAATAAATGCATTGTGGTTTTAAAGCGCATTAGATTCTTAAAAACGTCCATTCTCATCTCTTCACCTTCCTTCACCTGTAGCAGTCTCCCAAGCTCGATGTTTTTAGATGGTGAGATAAACACATAAGGAAATGTTCGTTGTTTTACTGTTGCTCCAGCACTTGTGTTCTTCCTTAGGCAGGCAGTCGTGGTTACATCGTTATTCGCGAGTATTTTTGCCTTTACATCTGGCACACACAACCTACCTATACAGACTTGTGACATCATACCAATGGATAACCCTTTAAGAATTTGTTTGACCGGAGATCGTTCAGTATCAAGCTTCAGTGATTTTGCGTAAAGTTCCACGTTGGTGTGAAAACCTTGAAGTTGAGCTATTATCCCCGATACCATTGGATTTGAGGTATGCGACAAAAGCTTCTGAGAAAGCGCGGTTGTCCTTGTTAGGATACTCTCAATCTTTTCGTTCAAGATTTCAACCGTGTTTATTATACTCTTAGCTTCTTGGTTTACTAAAGTTTTGTCTATACTTGACATGACAAGTTGCCTCATTCTGGTCGCTTGAGCATTCACATCATTGACAATGTCTAGCAATTTGTTTGCATCAGAGCTTAAATCTGGCACCACATTAGGAATACTTTGCGCAGTGAACTGGAATTGCTGCATTATGAATCCAAGGAGTATGACTGTGGTGCCTAAATTTCTTGGAATTCGCACACCACTTTGTCCACCTCCGCCTACTATGTCGTGGTTGATGGTAACATTCATTGGGTATTTTAGATATGGAAGAATGAATTGAGATAACATGGTTCCTTTTACGGGATTTTCTGAGGATGTCAAGGTGAGGTTGATGCCTTGGTCACACTTATCTCCTGGTAAATGACAGTGAAAGATAGAGTTTTAGCTCTGCGCGTTTGAGTTTTACTCTAATTTAATAGTGTTACTATTTGTTGTTGTTGTTATGTCTGTTGTTGTTTCGAACTTCAATCTATCTGGAATCCTGAGTTATGTCATGCATGTTGTTCCTTACCTCCAAGCAGGAATTGTCCAACCATATTTTCCGATTTCAACTTCAATGGAATTAGTTCAGAATCGCCAGTTTTTATTGAGGTTTGCATCGTTATCCTTCCATTAGCAGAGCCTGATATTGAACAGGTAAGCTGTCTGGAAAGAAGCTGCAAGAAAAACGCACAAACGTAGGCTTCAAGTGCTTTGAATTGAATTAAATTGCATTGAATTGACTTATTTACTCATGTAAATATTATTTATACATATACGTCTTTCAGACTAGATAATCTATGATTTACAATCCAATGATACGTGAAAAACATTTTTCTTCTAGAACACAAAGTTGGTACTGTCCTATATGTATATAAAACCAAAGGCTACGGTGGGCTATTTAAAACGTGCGAAAAAAGCTTTGGCTCTCTCATAATCCCCCATAAAAGAAGGTAGAGTCATACATATATCAAAAAGTATATGTGAATTAGGTTTACTAACCTTCTTTGGGCAGTCCGACGTTGTGAAAATCTCTCCTGTGCTGTTAAGTTGAACACCAACTCGAGGACCCGTCATGCGTACTTTTATCTCGCCTTTCATCCAAATGTCAAAATTATTTTTACCAACTGCATCATCAGATCTATTATTCTGCATTCCAAAGCTAGAAACTTTAAAATCCCAACCTGTTCTCTTCATGTCTTTGAATATTTTCATTTGCTGAAATCTTTTCCTGGCCTGAGATGAGAGATCTATAAACGACTTGCTTTGACAGACATCAAGGGCCAGGCAGACACGCTCTTCTGATTTGAATGCTTTTGTCTCATCGCCGATTTTAGTGTTGAATGCTATGCTAGGTTTGAAGAAAACACTTGAAGGAGATATTGGAAGCTGTTCACACATTCCTGATCCATCGCTCATGGGTTTACCCACACTGACCATTAGGTTGGTAACATCAAAGACGTCATTACTTTGATCAAGCTGCAACTCAATCCACGGTGGCAGAACACTTGACAGAGACCTAAAGATGGACCTTGGCAAGGCATCATTTTGAATAAAATCAAACAAGTAATCTTTTTTCATAGGAGTGGAGTGACACTTTCCATCTCTTATGAAGGACAAGTCAGTTTTAGCTGGTACGTCTTGAAGGGAGGTTTCTTCGATCTTGCTAAGTAACTGTTCTCTTGTAAAAGAAAGTTCATTCAAGCTCACTCCGAAGAGGGAAATGGGAATGTTCAAGCTCTTAGTTCGTAAGTGAACTATACCTTCAGTTGATGTGGCACTTGGAGTACCCCAAGGAAAAGTTGAAGTTAGACGTGCATTGCATTGGAACAATTTTGGCAACTCATGGCAACCTTCTGGTAGATTCCCTTTCGAAATCTGAAGGCGGTTGTATACGTTATCCTTGCTGACACTATCGGGACCAACAAAGATCGTGTTCTCCTCTGGAGCCTTAAAAACCTTTGCATCATCGCCGTCTAAAGTATATGCAATAATGTGCAACCCTGGTTTCCTGGAAACAAGAGTGAATGCCACCTGTCGAGACAGTTTTGAAATTCGTAACTCACTTTGTGGTTTCACCAAGACTGCTTGGGTCGATSTGATGGTTACCCTAAGCTCACTCTTTGGTTGTGCGTTTAGATGGTATACTTTGGACTCTTGGTTTATTTTTAGTCTCTGATATGTGGGCGTTGTTATGATACCTGTTTCACACCGTGGACCTTCAAAGCCAGTGTCTGCACAGTCACAATAAAATTTATTGTTGTTGTGAAGTGAACATTTCCCACCATTTAAGCACGGATTTGGTGAGCAAAGTTTCAGCTCTGTAATTAAATTATATAATTTCTTAGTCAATCGTAATTGGAAATTAGTATAAATAAGTTAATAATTGATCCTAACAGGTGTACGTATGTTGTAAGATAATCTTTGTAGACAAATAGAAATTACCTTTGCAATGGAAATTCTTTAAATTCCATTTCCCAAAACCAGAGAAGCTCTCAARCTGACATGTCGCTACACCACCTTCTGCGCTGTGAAATCCATCCACACATTTCAACAAACATCTTGATCTTATTGTGTTGTGACAAGGCAAGAAAACCTCGGCATTTTCTGGTGCAGCCAACTTAGGACATTGTTTAACTAAAAGATTGGAAAAGGATTGTGTAATGAGAAGCCAACACATTTAAAAGTTGTATTTATAATTGATGCTTATTGTCTTCACATTCCAGGTCGCGTGTAATTCCGTTATTTATAATTTCCTTGTTTGCCAGATTTTAACCAAGAAGTTTTGCTAATAGAGGTTTGAAATGGGAAAACATGTAAAAGGATCTCCATTGAAGAACATAAACATAGAGCCCCACTTTTTACGCCTTTTGTTGTTGTTGTTGTTGTTGTTGAAATTCAAGTGTTAATAAAGACATTGAGTTTTTAATGTTATTTTAAAAAAGTGTTGCAGTTGCTTTTTCACCTTTGCATGTCGCTCTAGTGCCATTCCACTTCCCTGAAGGTAGACACGTTGATTCCTCGGATCCAACCAAGTCATATTCGAGGTCACACTGGAACGTACATATTGAGCCAGTGGAAAAGCCATTACATTTCATGCTACCACGAGATGGACCCTCAATAGACTCACATGGAAGTGCTAAAATATACATATGACTCCATTACGCTTTAGGCTCAACTGAATAATGTCATTAAATCAATATAAGGTAATTTAACATACCTTGACACTTTTTCTTGTCTTTCAGCTTGTAGCCAGGCCCACAAGAGCAAACGTAAGATCCAATACTATTTTGACATTTCTGATCGCATTTGTGAGTGCCAGTCAGGCATTCGTCTACATCTGAAACCAGGATAAAATTGTGAGTTGATTATTTAATATTTATAACTGTTTAACTGCATTTGAGTTAGTGTGCTAACGCAAAAAATATCTTCGGTCTTTAACTTGTTTGTCTTCTTTGTATATACCTTTACATGCTTTTTCGTTCCGTCGAAGTCGATATCCACGTTTACACGAGCACTTAAATGAACCTTGAGTATTTATGCACAACTGTTCACAGTCGGAAAGAGAGGTGTTCCCGGGGCGGCATTCATCGATATCTGTGACTCACAAAAAGATAATGGATTATTATTGCTTCAATTGTGCTATGTTGGAAAACCCCTAGTCATAATGTCATTTCAGATGACTTGAATAACAAGTACACACAGTATTTGCAGTTATATGTTTTCTCTCTTATCAACTTAACTGCACTAAAAGACCCACCTGAACAAGTAAAGTTATCATTGTTTAATTTGTATCCATTTGGACATGAGCAACGATAGCTTCCTTGCAAGTTGATGCACTTCATGTCGCATGGTTTAAAAACCTTGCACTCATCAACATCTGAACCACCGATGTAAAAAGGAAAAAAAGAATATATTAAGTTAGTAACAAAAAACTGACTTCCTGACTGATCGACTGATTGACTGACCGACCGACCAAGCAACAAACCTACCATGTGAATGACTGACTGACCGACTGACTAACTGGCTCATACACTAAATCATTAAAGCCCTCAACTTACCTATACATTGACGGCCATTTGGATGTATTCTGAACCCTCTACGACATCGACACCTGAAACTTCCAAAGGTGTTTATGCACCTGTGCTGACAACCCTTCTTTGTCTTGCATTCGTTTTCATCTGAAAAATAAATAAATAAACGAAACCTTATCAGTTCAGATATTCCAAAACAACTATAAAAGAAACTGTTTAAAAATTAAGGTAAAAACCAATAGAAATCGCACAAAATCTCTGATTCAATTACGAAAATGTCTACATAGGACAGGCTCATTTGTTTTTCATTCTAATTACCATAGTGTATAAAGCTAGGTAATAGTTCTTCAGAAATGCTTTTCTTTGAGAACAATGAACATTGTACTTGTTCCATTGTACTTCTCCCCCTGAGCACACCTTTTTATAATCACTCCTGACTGTCTGTCTCATTCCCACTTACCTTCGCATGTGGAACCATCTTTTCCGAGTAGGAACCCTCTGGGACAATGGCATGAATAAGAACCAGGCAAATTTAAACACTTTAGGTTACAATTATTTGTGGTTGGAGAAATACATTCATCAATATCTACATAAGGGAAACATAGCTAATCAGTGTTTGATACTTCAATGTGTCCCCAGAAACCGTGCAAATCCCTAAAAGATTCTGGATACGCAAGATGGTTAACAAATGACAGTTTCCTTGCAATCAAATTCTAAGTTTTAAGTTCCAATAAGCTCCACTAAGGTGTTAAGAACCACCTCTGAATGTTCAGAGCTAAAACACACAATAAAACCGTCCTTAGTACAGCATATCACAAAACTGCACTTTGGAATTAGAACAAACCAAAAATAAGTTGTAATATAAAAGGTGTTGAAACATTCTTCATCAAAATGTTATGCAATATAATTTCTGACCTTTCAATTGAGTACCTTCGCAAATCGTTGAAGCTATTAATCTGTAGCCCTTGTTACAAGTACACCTGTAACTTCCTATTTCATTGATGCAGGTCGCGTTGCATTCCGCTTCTTTGATATTTGCACATCTACAAGCCGGTGGATCTTTTTGGTATTTACACTCGTCAAGATCTCAAAACAAAGGAGAAAAAATCCTTAAAAATTGAAAGAAATGTAAAGAAAAGAAATAGAAAAAAAAAGAAATTATAGGAAGATCATATTCTTAAAATCAAAAAAAATCAAATCAGGCAAGAAAGATACACACTACCTTTTGGAATGCAATTTGCATGTGAAACTCAATTATGCATTTGCGTACTGTTACCTAGCTGGGTCAACCTCGATTTGGAGTGGAATATTAATGCGTTCCGCTGCTTATGTGAAATGAGCTAAACTTGAGTAATTGTGTCAGTAATCCAGATACCTATGCATATCTCCATATTATCAATGATTTTGTGTTTCACGTATCCTCTGTGGCATCCGCATTCGTATGATCCTGGTTTGTTGGTGCACGTGTGCTGACAGTTACCATTATTTTTGTTACATTCGTTAATGTCTGATAAAAAAAAGAGATTCTTATGAGTTAAACAACAATAGAGTAAGCACCACATATTCGTGTAACAAAACCACAAAACCAAAGATGCAATGTCGAGTCATCTAAGTGTGTGTGTGTGTGGGTATATATGTGTATATGACACCACAGAAACCTAGCTTGGGCTACCTGTGCTCTAGGTTACGCAATACATAGCGCCCTATTGTACTATTTAAGCTATTTAGCTTGTTCTCATTTATATACGGCTATAATAATAATGATAATAATAATAATAATAATTATTATTATTATTTTAATAACCTTTATCTATTCAACGGAAAGTCAAAGCTACTCAAGCGTTTGCTATTCCCGTTTTGCAACACCACATGTGGTCTACTGACTGGCCTATAGACAAACTTAAAGAACTTGACAGACGAACCCGTCGAGTTATTAATGACTGCGGCTGTAAAAACAAGCATGAATCTCTACCCCTCCTCTACCTTCCAACTGCTAAAGGAGGCAAAGGCCTGACTGAAATCGAAAGCTTGTACAAGACCACAAAGATAAAACTCGCCCACTACATCACATGCAGCTCTGATCCACATGTTGAGCTAGTAAGAACGTACCAAGACGCCAAAGAAATGAAATCCTTAAGA